TTCCTGATGTTACATCTCTCACATTTGCTGTGTTGTCATGTCGTTTGTTTCAGAAGTGACGTCTCCCTTCCAGCTCCTCCAGTGCACATATTGGTTAACATCTGTCGTCTACTGTACTTTCTTCTTTGTGATTCATGGCTCTGATCTATTGTCATCTGAGCAGATAATAGAATCTCAGGTTTTTTAAGGGTATTGTGACTTCATGTCTGGCCCAACAGATGATTTGTCCTGGAGATATCCAAGTGCTGATGAGAAGAATGTGAATTATGCCTCAGTAAAATGTTGTGTAAATGTCTGTAAAGTCCATTTACTTTACACTGTGATTCAACTAAGATGTTTCCTTGTTGGGAGCTCGCTGGAGGGACGGCTCGGGGACTGAGACCACTTTCTGCCTATGCAGAGAGCCTGGGCCAAGTCCTTAGCACCCACATGGCAGTTCATAACCACTGTCACTCCAGTGCCGGGGGGTGTGACACCTTCTAGACTCAAAGGACAGAAGGCACATACATACACAGAGGCAAAACTTTCATACACATAAAATAATAATGTTTTTAAGATTTTAAAACTTCCATCATTGCCCATCAACAAAAGTGGAGTGGTGAAGTCCCCGAAAAGTGTTGTATTACAGTCTGTCTCTTCCTTTGTAGCTAATATAAAGGAATGCCAGGTTGGGTGCATATATATTTAGTTGTGCCTTCTGGCTGAATTTACCCTTTCACTAATATAGAAGGAGCTTCTTTGACTATTGGCAGTTCTTCTTTTTTTAATTTAAAGTCTGCTTTGTTCGAATGGTATAGGACTCTTGCTGACTTGTTTCATATTTGTTGTATATCTCTTTCCAATCTTTAATCTTTACTGGTGAAGTGAGATCCCTGTAGGCAGCATGTAGTTGGCACTTGTGTTTTTAACCCATTCAGCTATTCCTGCCTTTTGGTTGATGAATTTAACTCCTTTATCATCATATTGTTGACAGACATGAAATTTCTCCTTTTATTTTATCTTTTTTTTTTTTTTTTTTTTTTTGGTTTTTCGAGACAGGGTTTCTCTGTGTAGCTTTGCGCCTTTCCTGGAACTTGCTTTGTAGACCAGGCTAGCCTCGAACTCACAGAGATCCGCCTGCCTCTGCCTCCCGAGTGCTGGGGTTAAAGGCGTGCGCCACCACTGCCCCGCTATTTTTATTTTATCTTATTCAGTTGTATTCTGGGTTTGGAGAGTGGTTTTTGTTGTAAATTGTTTGGTGTTTTTCTAACCTCTTTCTAGTTATTTGTGTGGTTTGGTGGATCTATCATACTGAAGTTTGATTCTCTGTTCTATGTTCTACCCTGATTTTTGAATATTTGTGGGTTTCTTAGTTGTTGCTGTGGTTTTAAAGATTCATTTATTTATTTTATGTGTATGTTTGTACACTATGTGCATGCAATGCCCTTGGAGGCCAGAAGAGGGCATCGGGTCCCCTGGAGCTGGAGTTGCAGGTGGTTGTGAGCTGCCTGGTGTGGGTTCTGGGAACTGAATGCAGACCCTCTGAAAGAGCAGAGTGTTCTTAATCACTGAGCACCTTTCCAGCATGGAATATTGGTGGTTTCATGCTGGTAGTTATCACCCTTTTGTTTTTCGTGGATGACTTCCTTAAGTATCTCTTGTACGGCTTATCTGATAATGGTGATTTCCTTCAGTGTGTGCTTTTCTGAGGAGCATTTTGTTTCCTCTTCATTTCTGAAGGATAGTTTGGTTGAGTATAATATTCTTAGTGGGCAGGGTTTTTTCTGTCAGTATTTTGCACATGCCATCCTACCCTCTTCTGACCGATAACCGTTCTGTTGAACGATCTGCTGTAAGTGTAATGGACTGTCCCTTTAATGGGACTTGATGCTTTCTCTTGCTGAATTTCAGGTTTCTCCTGGTCATGTACTTTCAGCATTAGATTACAAGTTTTGATTGAAAAGTCTATTTTCTTTAAATGCAGTCAGGGTCCTTTGAGTTTACTATATCCGGGTAACCGTCTCTTTGCAGGTTTGGGTCTTTTCAGCTGTTATTTAGTGATAGGTTTTCATGGTTTTTTCTGTGTTCTTCACTTTGTGAAATTCCCATAAGACAAATACTTGTTCAAATATATGTGTTCTATAAGTTTTGTGGGCTTTCTTCATCTGATTTTTTTTAGGTTAATTCTAGAGTTCAGAAATCCTTTCTTCTGTTTATTCTTTTATGTAAATTCTCTACTTCATCTTTAATTTCATTAATTAAAGTTTTAGCTCTCTTTCATAATTTCTATGCCTTTGGTGAATTTCTCATTCATATCCTAAGTTATTTTTGTGATTTCTTCATGGTATGCATCAGTATTCTCTTTTATCTCAATGAATTTACTAAGGATCATTAAATTTGGATTTTTTTAAGGGCTTGTTGTAGATTTTCTTTAAATTGGAATCTATTGTGAAGAATTATTATTTATTTGAATTATCATGTTTTCTGTCATGTTATCAGCATTTCTACATTGATGTCTGTACATCTGGTAACATTTGCCTCTAATTTTATGAAGTAACTGTTCTGGGAAATTTTGAGATTTGGTTTTTGTTTTATTATTTATTTAAATGGGATGTCAGATGCCAGGTGGATGAGAGCTTTGGTGGTTGGATCAGTGCTATGAGTTTGGTAATGGAGCTCAAAGCATCTGTATCATTTCTTTGTCTTTGATGCCATCCATAGTCTGAACTGTAACTGCTCCTAAAACATTTTGTGACCATAGTTGTAAGACATCGAAATAAACTTAGGCTTCCAAAGGTATGTGTCTTCAGACTCTGCAAAGTCACACACTGCTGATGGCTTGTGCTGTCCCTTGTCATAGCTATAATGGTGTGGAATATGTACCAGGGAGGAATCACAGGAGACTAAATGTTTATGAGTATTCAGAGTCCCCAAGTCACAGTGTTGAGGGACTCTCAGGATGAGTGTGGGACAGCACAGCTAGTAGCACCATTAGACACCTTCACAGAGCCCTGGACTGTCTCCTGGCCCCGAAGGATGTACATAATACCATCAGGGGTTTTGTCACCAACTATGGTCCCAAGGCAATGGGCTGTGAAAGAAATCACTCGTAGGTCTCCCAAGGCCTATGCAGGTAACATTTAGGCATATGACACATGTATCCACACATCTGGAGGCATAAGACATGGAGGAGACCTTCACTAGGCCCCATGGGCTGAGCACAGTAGTCTGAGATATGTGACTTTGGTATCTACCCTCCTAGAGCACAAGACAGGCTTATCCTCAGGTTACATGGAGAAAGCTCAGTTGGAGACAAGATTTGAAACATTGACAACCACAGCTCTCTATCTGCAAGACATAGATGTGACCTGCCCATGGTAGCCAGGGACAGGCTGTGGGCTGGGAGAGCAAGCCACCCTAGTTTCACTTGGGTGTACACAGAGGTGCTAGAGGTTGGGCTGCTGGCAGCTGCATTCCTGGACTGTGCAATGAGATAGAACCTTCCTAGATCACAATGGACAGGTGGGGACAGAGCCTGGAGTTTACCACAGCCTCAGTCCCAGTGTTGTAGGTTGGAAAGAAGACCTTTACTAGGTGCCGTTAGGCACGCAAGCAAGGACTCAGACCTGTGACTGTCACAGTCGATGGTCCTGAAGCTGCGGGACATTGAAAGAACTGTCTTCCCCCCCAATCGCCCAAGTCCTCTTACAGTGTCAGAGTATTGGCTCTTGGCCCCTAAGACACAATGGCATCTAGCAGTATGCTGCTGTGGCAGTTTGAGTTGGGGATGGGGTGGGTTAGGGAGTTCCTTCTTTAGGTCAGAGCGGGTCTTGGCCAGGCTGCTGTTCCAGGAGCCACTGGCATTTCCCACTTCCCTGTTCTCACCCCTGCTCTGGAGGGCTTGACGGTGCACTTTGCTTTCTTTTCCCTGGGCTCCTTGCCGACTCTCGTCCTGGCTCTTATGAGGCACAGCTGTACACAAGGACTTCTATTCAGCCATCTTGGCTGCCTGCCTCTGTGATGAGTTCCTACAAGATGACCGCTGATAGTGAAGGTGATGGGGTGAAGATGCACAGACTCCAGGCTAGCCCCAGAGTTGTTGGCTTCAGAGGGGCAAGAGATCCTGATAGGAGGTGTTGGTCATTTGTCCATTTCTCTGAAAACACATTTTCAGTAAGTTGTATGTTTCCAGTTAAATGATGTGCTGCATGCCAGTGAGGGGCTCTCATTCTCAGCCCTGACTCTTAGCTGTGCTCCCTCCTCTTCAGCACAAAGTAAGATTCCAGAAGTCATGGGAGGTCACTGTGGGCCTGGTCTTCCCATCTCAAAATGCAGGCTCCTTAGCAGGAGATGCGAGGTGCAGTATTGCTTTCCTTACCTGGAATACCTTGTGTTGTTGCAACTAGTGTCTGGTTTTGAAAGTGACAATTTACCCTACCATGAGCATCTGTATGTCTGCCTCCATGTGCATCTACAGAGAGGAGTTGCTGAAAGACTCGAGTTGTCCGTACTGCCAGTAACGGGCAGTGTGCCCTTAGATGGCCACACTGTGGAGAGGAGGAAAGGCCTCCCTCCGTTGGTGTCTGTTCCCACAGCCTTCCCCTCCAGACTATAAATCAGGCCTGGGAAGACAGTAGTGAGTCAGTAATTTATAGACTATTAAGATGCTTAGTTAGAACTGACTATGGAGCATGTGGAATAGAGAACACATGTTTCCAAAAGACAAACAGACCCAGCACATCTCTTCCTTGGCTGAACCAACAGCAATCCATTAACAGGACAAAATGGGATGCCTTATTTTGCATATCACCCACTTCCCCAAAATAGACTCCCTAACCACTTGTTAACCACACTGACTTTAATAGACAGAACGGCCGCTCAGCTTTGCCACCAGAACTATTCATATTAAGCACCCCATTAGCTTGTAGCCAGCAGTCTACAAAACAGGAAGAAAGCCTCTGCTTCCTCTCCTTGTTTGACTTGATGTGATAATTCATTGCAGATTTCTTTGTCTTTGACAGAGTGCCTACCGAAGGAGTGGGATGGCTTTCCTGGCCTGCTGAGGGGACCATGGCTGTGCCTGCCACGACAAGAGAGGGAGCGGTACACCGAGGTCATTCTTCCCTGTCCTGGCTGAAAATAAAATATGAATTTACCTTCTCCTGCCCTCGGGAGTGACCTGCTTTGTTTTCGATTCTCGACTGCCTGACTGCAGCTCTTCCCAGCCTCCTTAGCCTTGTTTACTGAATGGGCCATTTGCCTAATTAATGGCAGGATGTTGGGATGGTGTGTAGGTGGACAAGAATGCACATCACACAATTTTGAATTTTGAATTGGGCATGGGTTTGCTGCCCTCAGCTCATAAATCTTAAAAGCAGTGTTATGCTTTTTTCCCTCCAGTGTTTAGTCTGCCTTTTATATGATGCCTTTTTATGATTCAGATTGGGACAAAGAGACAAAGTGAGTCAGTCTTCCCTTCCCAGTGACCCACCAACTGTGCTTTCCAGCATTGTTGATGGTCTCGGTGTGTACTTTAGAGACATAGGCATTCTGTGAACATACACCCATCAGAGATTGACCTGGCAGGACAAGCCACCTGTCCCCCTTCTCTCTCCCATCACCCACTCGCTAAAGGGGTCACTTCATGCCTTCCTCCTGCTGCTTCACAGAGCTTGCCTCATCCATCTTCACTTCCCCACTTTTCCACTTGTACCTCCCCTAAGCCACCACACACACACACACCACGTGCACACAGGCACACTCACATGCACACCACACACACATACACACACACAGAGCCACACTCGCGCACACACACACACACACACACACACACACACACACACACACACACCCCTTCCATACCCTTTCAGAAGGAAAGTCACAAAGGAAGAGTACAAGGACCCTAAGCTTCACCCACTCCTCCTGAGCTCTCCCCTGGTCTGGAATGGGCCGATACACTGCCGACTGGGAGCAGCCTACCGCCCTTCTGGCATGGTACTGTCTCCAGTAAATGAGGAAATATAACCCCTGGGAACAACCCAGAATATAGCAGATGCAGGGGTGCGGTTCCTGATCGAATATGAATTGCAGAGGAGGAGGTTATGCCTTTAATTCTATGAGAGCTCCGGGTGAAAGAAAGAGAAGAGCAGACATTTCTGTGTGAACAGACCCACAGAGTCTCCGCATGCTTGTGCCCGTGCTGTTCAGCACCGCTGTTTACCTGATGTGCAGTAATCATTCTCAGGGGAAATGTGCACGTCAGGAAAAATGCAGATATTTAATATCAAAAATTGCCAAAGGGTTTTGATGTTCTACCCAGGCCTGTTGAGAAGTATGATTAAACTTTTCTTTTTATCATCATTCTTATTTTCCTTGCCGTCCCTAATCATGGAAAATTATAACCCTGCAGTAAACATCCTTACTTTGGAAATGGCAGCACTTACTGTATTTGGTTTCCATCTGCCAGGCTCGTAGAAGGTTTGAAATTTTCAGGGGCTAATTTTTGCTGTTGGAAACCCGTCTCTGTCCCACATTATATATTTGAAAGTAGCACAAGCCAGAAAATGCAAGGTTTTGTTCTTGCCCTCTGTCTTACTCTACCTAATCTCCTTGTAGTCCCAGGGAAGGAAGACCCAGCGTGCATTTCTCTCAGAAGCACGACAGCTCTGTATTTTTGTTGGTCTGCCGAATGTTTGTGTATCTTGAACCGTCTGACAGGTAATTATTTATAAAATCTGGTTTGCCCAGCGAGTTCACATAATACCTTTCACTTTTCATCATAAGCCAGAGAGCTGAATTTAGAATAAAACAAGGTCGTTTGTGTCTGTCCTGAGCCAGCCTAGATGTGCCCATAATTGCTCAATATTAATATTTTAATTCTTTTTCTTTCCTACACTTAAGTTCTTTTCCTTACCCTTAAAACAAAACTAAATTTGAAGTAAAACAAAATTTTATGAATAGTGTATAGATAAAAACCAGAAGGAAATCTCAGAAATAACACTTTAGTAAACTGTCCCATAAGATTAAAGTGCCACATACTATCATAGTTAGAGAGACAACTGTGAGGGTCATTGAGAATTGTCACACATTTGACAGAGGAAAAAGAGCCTGGCCAACACGGGGAAATGACCATCCTGGAACACTCAGCAATGACCGGAAGAGACCATGCATGATAACCTACGGCCCCCATTCTCAGCCCACCACCCTGTGTTTACATGAGAATATTACAAAGACACACCAGCCTTCTCATATTTATCCCACACAATAAAGTAAACTTATTTCTTAATGATACTAATTATAGATACACCCTAGAACATAAATGTGAAGTCATAATAATGAAATCTTAAGTAGACTATGTTAGTAAATGAACTGTCTATCCGTGGATCTCAACTCTGAATCATGCGTGAATACACAGTTTCTGGGTGAGTTTTCATTGTTGTTAGTAATGCCTTGTATTTTAGAGGTCAAACTTGAAAATAAATAAACCCACAAATAATAAAGAACTTCTCTTCTGGAAAATTGATGCTGCCCTCTAGACTGAGGGTAAAGGAAACAGAAATACTTCTCCTGCCACCTCAATTTAGAAGTGTGACTTTCTGGAAGTGCCTTTTAGAGGTCATGTCACTGACCTTTTCTGCCCTCACATATGATAATAGTTGAGATTCAAAAATAATGTTCCAATTTTAGGGGCCAAGGTTTTTATTTAAAAAACCATCAGAAGTGCAAATATTTTCAAGCTGTCTGTATAGTTCCTGTGTTACTGTCTGTTCTTTGTTTTTAAAAAATAATAAACAACTCACATTTAATGTTTTCCCACATAGAAGATAAGTAAACATAACTGGTGATCTGTGGCCTGAAAGAAAATAAGTTTATTTGTCTAGAAATTGTAAAGTTCAGATTTATGAATTTTTTTCAGCATAACTCCAAAATGAGGCTCGTATAACCCTTGTGTGAAGTAAATCAATCACTACAGAGAATGTGTGCTCTCATCTCCTCCTGGACCGCAGATAGAGCCTTCCCAGGTTGCATTTAAGTTCTCCCATCAACCATGTATACATCTCATAAAACCTTTTATGGTTTCCTGTATGCTCTGGCTGAGCATTTCATAGTACATAAACACTTCTACAAATAGTGTAAGGACAGTGAGCAGAGTGTGTCCAAGCAGCGCCCCCTCCCTGAGCTGAGTCCCCAGCAACGGTCTGTTCCATCTGGAATCCCAGCGGACTCTGCTCTGCTGTTGCACATTGGTAAGGGGCCGTCGCCATGCAGTTGTGTTCATTAAAGGAGAGGCTCTCCACCAGGGCACCCAGCCAAGCTTCAGCAACAACACCGTGCTGTGGGAGTTGGATGTAAATATGATGTTAAATAAGGGCCAGATGCCCTGGGAAGCTCAAATATCAAAAGTCATATCTCTTAAAGTGAGTCTCAAGTGTTGTGAGCAGGATAGTGGTACCGTGGGCGGGGGGGTTGGTTTTAATATGAAACAAAATATCAAGCATTCAGATTGTCCTAAGTCATGGAAATTTTGGCAATTGAAGCGTAACGTAGAATGGTCAGTTCTTACAAGGGGACAAGAACACTGCGTATAAAACTGCTGCGATTCTGTTGAGAGCCTTGGGTTCGTGGTCCCTTTTCTGCTTGTAACCACCCAGCTGTCACTGTTCTCACTGTTTCCCACTGAGAAGTAAACATAGAAACAGATACAGGGAAAGGAGTGAGTGGAAGGACCGAAGCGTGGTTGTACACATCTTCTTGCTGTCAGAAGCTACAGTATGTGGGCCTGGAAAGAGTGTTTCCTGCTTATCAGAAGGACCCAGCATCCTGAGGGGTGGTTCTCAGGTGTCTGTAAGTCCAGCTGCAAGGGATCCAATGCCTTCTGGCCTCCATGGACACCCAAACACACACGTGCATACACTCATGCTGATGCACACATACCAATATGCTCGTTCAGACACACATACACATAAATAATAAAAACATTAAAATTTGAAAATAGTGTGTCAGCAGATTCATCAGTGGCACAGAGCAAGCTGCTGTGAGTGATGCCTCATGGGTACCTTGAAGGTTCACCATGCTTTCTGAGGTGCACACAGTGTGGCCCAGAGGCAGGAGAGGGAACTTGGCGAGTTAAGTGCTCTGTGCCATTTTACCCAGAATGGAACTGACGTCAATACCCAGCACTTTGACCCCACTGTTCAGCAGCTGGAATACACTAGAAACTTCTGGGAGCACAGTGAAGAGAAAAGCCTTTCTCATATCGAAAAACTTGATTACAAGAAAATTTCATTGTAGCTTAAAACAGTCCTTATCTATACATTATGTAAGTAATATAAAACAAGATATGTAATAGAATGTAATAATATAGCCTGCCAATTCCTCTTTAACATTTTAAACCTTAAATATGTATAGAGAGTGTGTGATACACTGAAGAGCCTGGCAGGAGACGGCATGGTTGCTGAGGAATGGGCTCAGTGGGTAAGCGCTTGCTGAGGCGAGCGAGAGACCTGAGTTCAGGTCTCCAACACCTTCAGACAAAAGCAGATGTGGCTGGGCGTGTCCGTCACCCCGGTAACTGGGGTGAAGGGTGGAGACAGGAAGAACCCTGAGGTTTGCTGACTGCCAGCCAAGCCAAAACGCAAGTTCAGGCAGAGACCTTGTCTTAAGGCAGAGAAAGAGAGAGCAGGATGCCTGGGGCCATCCTCGGCCAACCTCCACACAGGCACACATACCTGCACACAGACATGTACATACATAAACACACCACAGCTACAGAGGATCCTTTTATAAGCTGACAAAGAAAGCCTCAGAAACCCATGCATATACTACTTCTCCTTTCTAAATTCTGGCTGTGTAGAGTACTTACAAAGGCTTCTATTGTATGCATTCACACACGTTATCTATCCGTGTTCCAGAATAAGCCCCATCTTGTTCACAGGTGTTTGCTAGTGTTCAGAACATGCATGAAATAGTCTTTTGAAGTGTTTGCTCCTTGATGTAATAGGCCTAGTTTCCTTTATTCTGGCAAGTTTGTGTGTAAATGTTTGGGGGACTTAATGTACAGTGATAAACAGGAAAATGAAAAGAAATGGCTGAGTGTAACTTGCATTACAAATGATTTTTTTTCCAGTTCTATCCATACTTAGCAACTTTTTAAATTC